TAGTGCTCTATCTGATGTGTGAGGGGTAAAGATTTGCTCCTAAAGTGTAGGCTCTCTATTCACTTCCATTTTGATCCAATTTTGAGTTGAGTTTTGTGCAAGGTAAGAGAGAAAGGATTAATTTCATTTTGTTGCATATGGATTTCCAGTTTTCCCAGCACCATTTGTTGAAGAGACTATCTTTTCTCCAATGCATGTTTTTAGCACCTTTGTCTAATATAAGATAATTGTAATTTTGTGGGTTAGTCTCTGTGTTTACCAGTCTGCTTTGATGCCAGTGCCATGCTGTTTTTGTTATTATTGCTCTGTAGTATAGTTTAAGGTCTGGTATAGTGATGCCACCTGCTTCATTCTTCCTTCTAAGGATTGCTTTAGCTATTTCTGGGTCTCTTATTTTTCCAGATGAATTTCATGTTTGCTTTTTCTATTTCTATGAGGTGTGTCATTGGGATTTTGATTGGAATTGCATTAAATCTTTATAGTGCTTTTGGAAGTATGGACACTTTGATAATATTAATTGTGCCTATCCAAGTGCAAGGTAGACCTTTCCATCTTCTAAGGTGTTCTTTGACTTCTTTCTTTAGGGTTCTGTAATTTTCATTATATAGATCTTTCACCTCTCTCGTTAAGTTGATTTTATTTTATATTTTTACTGTTATTATAAATGGGGTAGTTTTTYTCCTTTCCATTTCTGAGTATTTATCACTGATATACAGAAATGCCTTTGAATTATGGGTGTTAATTTTATATCCTGCTACTTTGCTGAATTCATTTCCTAGTTCTAGACGTTTTGAAGTTTTCTGGTGGAACTTTCAGGGTCTTCTAGGTATAGAATCATATCTCAGCAAATAGTGCCATTTTGAGTTCTTCTTTTTCTGTGTGTACCCCTTTAATTTCTTTCATCTAATTGCTATGGCCAGTGTTTCAAGAACTATGTTAAATAGTTATGTATATCATCCTGATTCAATTTGGGCAAATTATATGACTCTAGAAATTTGTCAATGCTCTTGATATTTTCCATTTTATTGGAGTATAAGTTTTCAAAATAATTTTTAATTATCGTCTATTTTACTATAGTGTCTGTTGTGATATTTCCTTTTCATCACATATGTTAGTGATTTGAGTTTCCTCTTTCCTTCTCTTCTTTAGCATGGCTAAATAAAGGTCTGTCAATTTTATGTATTTTTTCAAAGAACCAACTTTTTGTTCTGTCAATTTTTCAATTGTTTCTTTTGTTTCAATTTCATTGATATCAGCTCTGATTTTAATTATTCCCTGCCTTCTGCTGCTTTTGGTGTTGATTTGTTCTTCTTTTTAAGTCCTTTATTTGTTGATTTTTTTCTTCTTTTAAGGAATGAATTCCATGCAATGAACTTTCCTCTTAGAACTGCTTTCATAGTGTCCCAGTGATTTCGATATGTTGAATCTGTGTTCTCATTCACCTCTAAAAATTTTTTAATCTCCTCCTTGATATCTTCTGTAATCCATTGTTCATTCAATAGCATATTATTTGGTCTCCAGGTACTGGAGTGGATTTTATTTCTTATTTTATCATTGATTTCTAATTTCATTCCATTATGATCTAATAGAATGCAGTGTAGTATCTCTATTTTTTTTTATATTTGCTAAGAGTTGCTTTGTGGCATAGTATATGGTCTATTTTAGAGAAGGATCCATGTGCTGCTGAGAAGAAAGTATATTCTCTTGTTGAAGGATGAAATATTCTATATATGTCAGTTAAGTCTAAGTTATTGATTGTATTATTGAGTTCTATAGTTTTTTGTTCAGCTTTTGTTTGGAAGATCTATCTAGTGATGAAAGAGGTGTGTTAAAGTCACCCAAAATCATTGTGTTTTGGTCTATTTGACTTTTAAACTTGAGAAGAGTTTGTTTGATGAACATAGATGCTCCATTGTTTGGGGTGTATATATTTATAATTGTTAAGTCTTGTTGGTGTATGGTTCCCCTGAGCAGTATGTAGTGTCCTTCTTTATCCTTTTTGATTGACTTTAGTTTGAAGTCTACTTTATTTGATATGAGGATGGTGAAACCCCTGCTTGCTTCCACAGCCCATGTGAGTGTATGATTTTTCCCAACCCTTCACCTTCAGTCTGTGGATGTCTTTTCCTATGAGATGAGTCTCTTGGAGGCAGCATATTGTTGGGTTTGTTTTTTTTTGTTGTTGTTTGTTTTTTACACAATCTGCTAGTCTATGCCTTTTGATTGGTGAGTTTAGGCCATTAACATTCAGGGTTATTATTGAGACATGATTTATATTCCCAGCCAATTTTGTTTAGTTTTGGTATTTAACATGACTTGGTTTCTCCTCTGATTAGATTTTCCTTTAGTGTTATACTTCCCTCTGCTGATTTTCATCATTGCTTTTCATTTCCCTTTCTTGGAATATTTTGCGGAGGATATTCTGTAGTGCAGGCTTTCTAGTTTTAAATTCTTTTAGCTTTTGTTTGTCAGGGAAGGTTTTTATTTTATCATCAAATCTAAAGCTTAGTTTTGCTAGATTGAAGATTATTGGTTGCCATCCATTTTCTTTCAGAGCTTAAGTTGTTCCACAATCTCCTGGCTTTGAGGGTCTGGGTTGAAAAGTCTGATGAGATACAAATTGGTCTCCCCCTATATGTGATCTGATTTCTCTGTCTTGTGGCTTTAGAGATTCTATCCTTATTTTGTATGCTAGGCATTTTCATTATAATGTGCCTTGGTGTAGATCTGTTATAATTTTGTACACTTGGTTTCCTTTAAGCCTCTTATATTTGGTTTCCCAATTCTTTTTTCGTGCTTGGGAAATTTTCTGCTATTATCCAATTGAAGAGATTGTGCATTCCTTTGGTTTGAAACTCTGTGCCTTCCTCTATCCCAATAACTCTTATATTTGGTCTTTTGATGCTGTCCCATAATTCTTGGATATCTGTTCATGGTTTCTTACTCTCTTCACTGTGTGATGAACTTTATTTTCCAGATTGTATACTTTGTCTTCATTATCTGACGTTCTTTCTTCCAAGTGATCTAATCTGTTGGTTATGCTTTCTATTGAGTTTTTTATTTGATTTATTGTATCCTTCATTTCAAGGATTTCTGACGTTTTTTTTTTCATAATCTATATCTCTCTTGAAGTAATCTTTTGCTACCTGTATTTGCTTTCTTATCTCATTGTTGGAGTGATCAATTTTTGCATGTATTTGCTCATTTAGGTCATTCTTTAATTCACAGATCATTTTAATTATGAACCTTCTGAACTCCTTCTCTGACATTTCATCAACTTTGCTGTCCATGGGTTCTGTTATTATAGTGTCCTGGTTKGTTTGGGGCACTTTCCTCCCTTGTTTTTTCATGTTTATGTGTCTTCCTTTCTTGCTGTGTGGATCTGAGACATTACAGTTTTTTCCCCTATATTCTTGTATTAACCATGCAGATTGTCTGTACCTCACCTTGATGTTGGGCTTCCAGACCCTGCTGGTGTCCCTCAATGTATGCTACTGCATCCTGGACCTGGGTCCTGTACAAGTTGACRTGGGTGGATATGGGCAGCTGGGKTTGACCTCCCATGGTAGTCTGTTGCTGGGAAGGGGCTGTCTTGCACCAGAGATGAAGCTCTRGCGGGTGTCTGCCCCACCCAGGGAAGGRTGGACCAGGCCTACTGTGAGCCTGGGTCCTGCATGGGTTAGTGGTCTGAATCTCTTCTATCTCATGAAAACTTTGTAACTTTCTGAAACACAGGCCATTTATAGGTTTGTTTTCATCCTTAATTCTTTGATTTTTTTTAAAGTAGGGTTTTTTTAGTTAATATTGCTTATTTTGGTTATTATGAGAATGAACATTATTCTGTGAACTTCTGTTTAATACCTGAAGTTTTTAAAAGTAGCTTTCAATGACACTGTTTTCCTAAATACAGAAGGTATCTTTATCAACCTTGCTTTTCTTTTAGTATTAACGACAATGATATGTTACATTTATAAAGTACTTGTTGAGTACCAGTTACCTTGGTGCATGCTTTCTAGCATCATCATATTTAATACCCATAAATTTGAGAATAGGCATTATTATGTCATCCCCATTTTGCAGTTGAGAAACCAGATAGGTATTTCAGTATCATAAGTGAACAGCTACAGGCACTTTCAAACTTGGGGTTCAAACTTGGGGTTCAAACTTGGGGTTCCTTTCTGGAACAGATTTGCAAAGTCACACTCAAAGATATGGCAGCTATGTAACATAAATAAATAAAGTGGGTATATATGAAAAATAACAAAGCAGGTGGCATGATGAATGATAGTTAAGACTTAGCCAAGATGCTGGCACAAAATAAAGAGTAATCAGCTCTGTGGCAGACTCTGTTGGAGAGTACATGCCTCATTTAAAGGTGAGGTCACTTCTCAACTGTAGGTAGTTTTTACCTATGTGAGAATGCAGACCCATTCCACACTTTTCAATACAAGACAGAAATCTGTATTTTTTACACKAGGACCCTTAGCTTCTATATGTTGGCTACTCTTACAAATAAAAATAAAATGCAATGTACAGACCCACATGCTGAGTCCAAAATTAAGAAACATCTGAAGACTTAACCTGTTCTTTGGGCAGCCAGTTACCAATTCCCTGTAATAGAGTCTGAGGTCTTTTAAACTGTTAAGTCATGCTGCTTCTTATTGCCCCGTTTAAATACCTTCCTTTCATATGTGCACTAAATGAATTGAGGAAGTGAAGACCTACTTTTTAGCTAATGTGTTTTATTTACTGCAAATGTATTTTATTTACTGCTGTTATGCAGTTGTACCCATTTGGATAAAAACTGCAAAGGCAACCTACAAGTTGCCTACAAGTACATTGTTTTGAAATCCTGAATTCTTCATTTATCTGCCTTGAGTGGTACAGTTCTGATATAAGGCATGTCTTATGGTAAGTTGATGTGAGGATCCAGGTATTATTGAATACTTAGTTAATTATTTATTAATCATGACTTTCTCTCCCTTTCTTTTGTAACATAGCTTTCACTTTCAGAAGAACAGAATGAAATAATGAAAAATGGCTGTGAATCTAAAGAGCTGGTCTACCTCGTGCAGATTGCTTGTCAGGTAATTCTGAATTTGTCCTCCACTGCATATAAAGTTAATAAGAATTATTTTGAGTAATCACCAAATTCCTTACTATAGTGTGTTTCTCACATTGCCTCAAGGATTATAATCTATATAAAGATACTTATATTGAAGTGAAATTGGGCTATAAWTAACTATTGTAAGAAAATAAGATGGTATTCTTAAAAAAAAAAGAGAAGTGTGTTCATACAATAATACATGGAATGCCCAATTTAGGTTGCAACTTACATATCTTCTCTTTGCATTTTTTAAAGGTTCCTAAGGTTTTGGACACTTATAAGTAAATAATAGAGATTGTGGGAGTATAGGTGTTGAAAACAACATAAAATAAAGTAAAAATTTTTCCCCCAGTTATATTGACATTTCTACATATACCCACTTCAATAGAATCAGTTTAGTAGAATCAGAATACAACTTTAAATGAAGATACTTCTCATGAGAATGATGTCATTTTTTTTTGCATTTGAATCAGATGATGTATAATTTCTCATTTTTCTGAGTGTACAGGTTGTAGAATCACATTGGTCATGCAGTCACGTATATATATACAGCAATAATAATGTCTATTTATTCTGCTGTCCTTCCTTCACCCCCATCCCCTCCCTTCCCCTCCCATCACTTCTCTCTACCCAATTGATGTCATTTATTGATCACTATGTTAGTTGAGTTAACTATTGATCACATATCATGATGGGAGATTTGACCACTTGTCTCTGCCTCAGCTACTCCCTGTTCTGACCAGGACAGTATTCCTCTATAGTATCACAGGAAGAAAGTGCATGTGATTTTGAAGAATCTGATGCTTATATCACATGGGAAATACTTAAATTCTTAGTTCTGGTGACWTTAAGGAAAACTTTTCAAAATAAGTGCTTTTATTTTTAGGTGCCAGAATTTGGGATTGGAAATCAAATTTAGCTTGAATATAGAGTCAAAATATATCAAAGTCACATATTTTTCATATATGTTTTGTTGCATGTCATCTCAGTTTGAAGGAGTAGGCAACTCTGAATTACTAAATTTCATGTCATATTTCATAAAATGCTGTATTTAGTAAGTTAGTTTTTTCTCTGAATTACTAAATTTCATGTCATATTTCATAAAATGCAATAGTTAGTAATTTTTATTGTGAAGTTTTAATAACAGGTCTGTAAATGTAAATCTTATGAATTTTCTCTTTGCTATAGAAGCAGTGAAAGTTGGTGATACTATAAATTCAGTACCTCCATGTATTTTACTATTTCATTTTAGTGGATAGGTGACAGACCCCTTTAGTCTTGGTGATTTGTGTACCTTTGAGCTGAAAATTCAATTCTAGAAGTGGATAGGCTGAATGTGAATAGAAGATCTGGTGATTAATGAGACCTGGGGGAAAAGAAGTAAGGAAATAAAAGTCATGGAAGAATCTCAAATAGGTCCTTGATGACCTGAAGTGTAGTTCTATTAAGAGAATGAGAATGTGGACGTTGGTAAATTGATTTTTTAGGTGAAAATATTGAAAAATTCTGTCCTGATAAACTGTTGCTAATAGATGAATGGAAATCTTTTTCTAGAGTACATGTTTGGTATGTCAGGAATGAATTTATTAATTCCTGTACAAGCTAACACATTTTAGCATCTCTTCTCACCATTTATTTCCATATGCTCAGAGAATGCAGATATTTTTATTCTCATTAGCAAAACATAATCTCAAAAATATCTATGCTGTTTCACTTAAAAGGCAAACATGCTGTTTGGGGCATACATTAGAATTTATAATTGTTACTCAATTGTACTTCCATATATTAGTGACCTAGATGTTAGATAGTTTCCTGGTTGTAAATATCCTATTCAGCTGCTTAAAAAATTGCAGATTGCTTCGTGTACTATTTATTACATCAAAGTAGTAATTTACTACATTATTATAATGCTTATATTATAATAATAATATGAGCATTATTATTATTCTCTGGCTCACAAAGTAATCTTTGAAGCATTCCCATGATGTGTGTGTGTGTGTGTGTGTGTATAATCAGTTATAAGCCCTATTGTAAGCCCAAAACATTTTTTTTTTAATAACTAAGACTCACAAGCAAACCCCTTAATTTTGCAAATGGGGAAAATGAGGTCTAAAGTCCTGTAGTAGCTATCCTAAGCTGCTAATATGGCGTATTAGCAGTGGGAGCTTCTAAGGACTTCATTTTCCTGCCTGCCAGTTTTTTTCTGTCTCTCAATGGAATTTTCAGTCTAGAATAGATTTGAAAACTCGCTCAGTCTCCAATTAAGATGGCCATTAACACTGATGTTATCTATCTGTTCTAGAAGCTATTTATTTACATATTTTATCTCTGTTAACTTCTAATTTTTAATAATGTACAGTTAGCATTCTTTTTATATAACCACACTTCTTGTTCCTTCATCTTAACCTCCTCTTTTCTTGTTCTGTTAGCTTARATGACGACATATTAAATGTCTTAAGATCTTTTTCCCTTCTGGAGGATAAGTGATTCTACTTTCAGTAGACCTTATTTTTGAACCTTTCATTATATCTTTTTGTCTGCCCTTTAAATTTTTTCTTCTTTCTAAATTGTGAACCCAGCAATGTAAAGACTGTCTTTCACACTGAATGGACCCAAATTCAGTAGGCACTTTTTTATCATCTGCATATCTGGCACACACACATGCAGCACTTCCTTTTAATTCTTAAAACAGCTCTGTGAGGCAGATAGTCTGGTTTCCATTTTATAGAAGATGAAATAAAGATAACAAATGTTATCTTCTACAAGGTCATGAAATTAAAGAGAAGGTTTTTTCCAGGATTTGAACACAGCTGTCATGTTTTTCCTACTCTTCCACCATTTTCTAATAACATGATTTGTACTTGGTTTGGCTACTCTAAAATCTTTAAGTATATCTCAAATGTTAATGAAGTCTTAAGAAATGCATATAACTGACAAGTCTAGTTTCTTTGCATGACTTCAGCAGACAGGATCTCCCCTCCCCCTACACCTTTCAGTGGAGCCTTACATTCTAGAGTCTCTGAAGGAGCTAGTTCAAGCCAACTGGACATAATTCCAGGCCAAGAGACTACAGTCTTAGAAATACAAAAATATTTAACAACTGGTATAGCACAAATCCGAAGCATTAGAACAGATACTAGTCACACAAGTCTAATTTAGCTGTATAGGTGTGTCTCAGCTGAATATTAACCATAGATAAATTGCTGTCAGATGTCTTAAAGAACAGATCATTAATGACCTGTTTGATCAACTCCTTCCCTCTTCTACTAATCATTATTTAGAATAAGTTGTCTTCGCTAATATAGGCATCATAAAATAGCCTCAGCTATTTYCTCTTTAATCTTTTCATTCTACTTATAAGTATCTGCTGTGTCAAACAAATAAACTTCTGTGGATGAAGAAACATGATCTAGTTTGTGTCTTGATGGTGTTTTGGGTAGGAGTCCTTTTCATTCCGTTTACTTTTCTGAAAATCATGCTATTTTCTTTGCATATCCTGTACTTCACAAGAAATAATGTGTTTAGTTTGAAAGTAGTGAAATTATTAAAAATCCTAGGAAATTCAAGAATATGTCATGAGAGAGGTTTCTGCCTTTTTTATCTTTCAAAAATAAGTAAACACGAGCTTTTAAGTGTTAATTTTAAAGTGACAAATTTAAACCTTTTTATTCAAACACATGCCCTGATGAAAATCCTGTTTTGATCTCTTCTTTCTCTGAGTGTAGTTTTTGTTATATGAGTAATTGTTGTTTAATAAAATAATACTTTATCATTTCATTATCAGCTTTAGATTAATTGACATTAATTTTTCTTATTCAAGTTCATGTGTGTTTACTACCTTTATATTTTAACCAGAATTCATCAATATTTAAGAGTTTATTTTTTTTTGTAGATTATTTAGTAAGTATTTACTGTAATCTCAAGGTTCCTTTATGYCATGGTAGATGGAGAAAACAGTTGGTTTCAAGGGAATGCTTCCTTGTCTCAAAATATCTCCCATACTCCAATGTTCCCATGCTTGAAATTCCACCATCAGAAATGCATTCCTTGGTATTAAATCTTTCCTTCTCTACTGAATCCATTTAGAGAATACTGTTATGTCAGGAGCAGGGGAACTGTTAACAGCCTCTGTGTATGACATAGGCAGATTGCCAGCATTTTTATTTAAACTTTATAAAGCTTCTGTGAAATATAGATGTTACTCCCATTTCAAAGATGGGTAAACTATTGCTCACAGATGTTTAATAATTCGCATAAGGTTCTGAATTTAAGGTTAGATGAGGTTAGGATTTGAATCAGTTCTCTTTTTCTCTCTTTTCACTGAGCTTTATACATTTAAGGAGATAACAGAGCATTAGTTATTTTTCAGGTAATTTCCCCAAGACGAAAAATTTCCCAGGACAAGGACAAAGACTGTTCTCAGAAAGCACAAGTGGTTCCTTTTCTCTTACCTTTATTCCTCAGCCTTGTCAAGAATGATTTTTGCCTATGATTTTTGCTAAGTGAAATAAGCCAGTCCCTCAAAAATCAAAGGCCCATGTTCTCTCTGATATTTCGGATACTAAAACACAATAAGTTGGGGTGTGTGGGGTGGGAGAAGAATAGAAGGTCATTGGATTAGACAAAAGGGAATAAAGGGAAAGGAGAGGGAATGGGAATAGGAAAAACAGAATGAACTGAACATAACTTTCCTATGTTTATGTATGAATATACCACCAGTGAAACTCCACATCATTTACAAACACAAGAATGGAATGTTATACTCCATGTATATAATATGTCAAAATATACTCTGCCATTATATATATCTAAAAAGAACAAGTTAAAAAAATTATTTTTGCTACCCTTGGATATAGTACTTGGTATAATAATTAATATTAAAAATTTATAACAAATAAGATTGAGACAAGTGTATATATTAAAGAGTTTTGTTCCTTTCAAAGTTATTAATCATTTAAAACACTCTGATTATTTACTTTA